TCGTGCGAGGGGCGGCGGTGATAACGACAAAGTCTGCGAATCAAGTGACTGTGCAATCCATTGCAAATCCTCCTCAGGCTTGTTGGGGGGGCACGTCAAATCGAACACGCGCCAAGCCTGGGGGGATGCAAAAACTTACTTCCCCTTCCCCACGCTCGTCGAGCGTGGGGAAGGGTGGACGACGATGGGGGCGCCCTGTTTCAATGTTCAAATCGACGAACAGCGACAAGTGGGGAGGGGCGGGTGAACTTTCACGAAGCGTTGACCGCCCAGTTGTCCTGGGCCAGTTCGAAAGTTGGGAACTCGGCCCTCAGAGCCGCTCGCGCCAGAACGATGTAGGAGCGCATCCTGGCGATGCACTTGTCTATGATATCCGCCGAGACACCGGCCTCGTTCCCGATATGATAATTCGCCCCATCAACTTGCCACACAATCGGAATCTTCAGCAGCTTCAGCCTCATGGTCGTGTAGCCAAACGCAGACAAACATCCGCGCGAACTGCCAAATAAGCAAGTGATAGACAAGTTGAACGCCAACACCTCGCGATTGAGAATGGCTGGATCGGCCGACTCGTCATCTAAAATCCGAGTGAGTTGCATTGCCTGGTCACTTGCGTCGGCCATCATCGCCAACATCAAGCACCGCTCTGTGTTGACAGACTTGAGCCACGCTTTTGCCATCTTTGCCATATCGTCGTTCTGTCGACGAGAAATGTGCAATGCCGTCCGGATGCAAGCGCGCAGAAAGATGCAGGTGCGACCAAGAGGTTTTTGAAATGATTCAAATCGGTGGGCGGCTGCCCGTAGGTTCGAAACGCTGGCGTTTATGGCCTTGTTCCGGCACATCTTCGTGTAGTTCACGAACACTTGTCGGATGCGCGGGCTGTTCTGAATCATGCGTGCTATGGGGCCTCGGCCGCGAGCGAAGATCATGGCTGTCTCCTTGATGTAAGGGTCAGCGGCCCACGGCCTGCTCACGACCCTCCTGGCTGAATGCGCTTTGTCTCTGATGACGAAGCGGAGCCCTGGGGTCAAGACTTGGGCAGCGGCGCTCAAAGCAGTCGATCGCATCATCTCAGCGCTGAGAAGCTCATCGCTTGCAGAATCAACCGTGAGACACAACACCCGTGCTTTCAGATGTTCCAGAACCCCCCGCCTGAGAGCGGGGGTGCAATTCGCTCCCGGCGGGGGGCCGTGCAGCTCAGTGCACGCTCTGACCATAATTTGCTCTGTTGCGTTGGTGATTGCCGCGGCCCCTGTCCCAATGCCACGAGCCTGCCCCAATGTCCCTGAAAACTCTGACAGGTCGTCCCCGACGCATCTAAATCGGATGAGTAGCCACCCCTTCCGCTCGTCACGAAATAAAGAGATTGCTGCACTTGATTTGATGATGTTGATGTCGCGCTGCTTCAGGGCACTCTGGATGCACCGCGACATTCTACGGTTCTTTGTTGTCAGTAGGCCGCACCCCTTGGTTACGAGCTTGACGACGTCCTGGAAATCAGACTCGCTGGGGCATTGAAGCTCGCCTGGCTCAGCAGAAGAGGCCGATGCAGCCAACTCATGCTGATCCCTCATCCGCGCATAAGCCGCAGCAGCTGCTTTGTGATCAGGGTTCCGACTGTGTTTGTCGAAGTTGACAGCCTGGAGCGCAGTGACAGACATTACTTGGAAATTGCTGAACGGGCTGTTAACGCCTGCCCAATGGCAGCATGCGCAACCAACTCTTTGCCCGTCCTTCCACTTGCTACTCAACCATGAACCCAACAGAGGGCGGCTCGGATCCACCAGGAATCGCTTAGACCACTTAGGGTAGAGTCTTTTCCAAAGAGTCGCCGCGGCGAATCTGTCGGATGACTTGTTGCTTTGCTCCTTCTCCACCATAGCTGCATCGGGGTGGCGGGCGGTAGCAATGCTAGTCGACCAGGCGGGCACATGGAACTTGAGCAAAAATGTTTACGATAGACGGGCTCAGGGGCGCAACAATAATCAGATAAATGTCATGGACGGCGAGCCGGTCCATCAACGAAGATATGCCATGCGTGGCGAGTCTACGCATCAACGAACCGCATCAAGGACATGATGCGGCCTGCTGTTAACGGGAAGCCTATTATCGTGTTGCAGATTTTTCCTTGGTTGGGCGCATGGAACTCCGCTCGCGAAGTTAAGACTGGCAGAACTGCAGCCGACGGGCCGGAACAGCCTGGGCCGATATAAAAAATCTGTTCGTAGTGCAATCAAATTGCACTCACCACTCATAGTGCAAGGGGAATGGAACCTGCGTCTTCGTGAGCCCAGCGCTGTAGAGCGCCTCAGACAAAATGGCGCCCATGGTATGCACACTGACCGCGTTGCCAATCATGCCGCCGATCTGGCGGTCGGACAAGTCGAGCTCAGCCTGTGGAATGCCCCCCTTGGCGAAACCTTGAAGCCGCATCATCTCATGCAGCGTCACCCGCCGCCCGCGGCTGGAGACCCACGGACCCCCGTCCTGGCCACGGGTTTTGGTGAGCGCCCTGGCGACGTTGACCCCGTGCGTGGCGAACTTCTTGGAACAGTCGATGTCGACCAACGCTGGGGTCAGGCGCGGGTCCACCTTCTTCTCGTATGCTTTCTTGTAAGCGTCCTTGCACATGCCCCGGCTGCGCTCGCTGCTGGGGAGCCGACCTGCCACGTCGGTGGTGGCGCGCTTGGGCTCCAGGATGGAAGTCGCTGGAGGCGTCGCCTGCTTCTGTGGCCACGTGAACGGATGCATCGCGCTGTCTTGCCGCGCGCCGACAACGAAGACGCGCTCCCTCGTCTGGGGAACTCCGAAGTCCTTGCTGTTCAGCTTATTCACGTGTACGACGTATCCAAGCGTCTTCTGCGCTTCTTCAATGCCCTTCAGGATGCGGATAAACTTCTTGTTTGTGAGGGTCGGGACGTTCTCGAAGATGGCCACGCGGGGCTTATTCCTCCTGATGTACTGTATGGACTTTTTGATCAGATCCCCTGTCTTGCGCGGGCCCTTGACTCCCTTCTGTTTGCCGCCCGAAGCGAAGCCTTGGCAGGGCGGGGTCCACGCGTGCACGTCGACGTATGTCTCTTCCTCCTCCGTACGCTCCAATATGTCAGAGAACGTGTGCGCCGGCTGGTACTTCTTTTTGATGATCGACATGCGCGCCGAATCCGACTCGCTCACGAACTCGAGAGAATGATTGATACCCATGCGCCCCATGGCCACGGACGCCGTCTCCAAGCCTGAGAAATCAGATCCCAGCTTCAGGACTTTCGGGCGCCGCGGCTGCCTCGGCTGCTGGCGATTCGTCGTCGTGCCAGCCTGTACTGTCTTCTTCCCCATGACGGCGACTCTGGGGATGGGCAGCAGGCGAAGACGAGAAGACACGTACGGGAAAACACGTACTATATATTATTGGTTCGAGCCGAAGCAGTTACTGATGAATCCTTAGTTCGCCGTCGCGCAGCCGACGCAGCTACCGATGGCAGAAACAAAAAGCCGCCACGACGGCGTCGCCGATGTGGCCCATGCTGTTAGCGTTGCGACATTGCCCTCGAGAAACAGGGGCGCTGGCTCCCAAACATTGCCAATGATGATGAAAGCTTCGCAGGCCTCAAGAAGATGGCCCCAAGAAGACGACCTAGAACCCAACATGGGGCCCAAAGAGGAGGAGGCAAGAGGAGGAGAGAGAGAGAGAGAGAGAGAGAGAGAGAGAGGGAGGAGGACCAGGAACAGGAGCAGGAGGAGGAGCAGGAGGAGCAGGAGGCACGTTGAATCGTGGGGCCCCAGACGCCCCCATGATGAGACCAGACCCGCCTAAAGGGCCAAACGAAGGCCCCAGTATTGCCCCAGAGGAACCCCAAGAGAAGAAGGGCCCTAAGATGGCCCCAAGCAAGAAGAGGACCCCAAGATAGCCCCAAGATGGCTCTAAGAGACAACAACCTCCGAGAACCTCTTTCTTACGCATCGTTTCTGGATGGGCTGGTGGGGTCATCGATGCTGCATTCCAGGGTGGGCCAGGCTGACAGCGAGCTGCGGCAATGATGAAGGTATAAGTGGTGGTTCGCTACCAGCGGCGAGCTGCGGTAGGTTAGGGGTGGGCACCGCCGCCGCGGCTCACTGCCGACAGCGAGCTGCGGGAGGAGAGGTCTGCCGCAACGCCGCAGCTCCCTGCCGACAGCGAGCTGCGGTAGGAGAGGTCTGCCAGACCACCGCAGCTCACTGCCGACAGCGAGCTGCGGTAGGAGCTCCCTGTCGCGCATTTCGCCGACGGCAGCGAGCTGCGGTGGCACCGCCGGCGCAGCTCACTGCCGACAGCGAGCTGCGGTAGGAGAGGTCTGCCAGACCACCGCAGCTCACTGCCGACAGCGAGCTGCGGTAGGAGCTCCCTGTCGGGCGTTTCGCCGACGGCAGCGAGCTGCGGTGGCACCGCCGGCGCAGCTCACTGCCGACAGCGAGCTGCGGTAGGAGTCTTCTGGCGCACCACCGCAGCTCACTGCCGACAGCGAGCTGCGGTAGGAGCTCCCTGTCGGGCGTTTCGCCGACGGCAGCGAGCTGCGGTGGCACCGCCGGCGCAGCTCACTGCCGACAGCGAGCTGCGGTAGGAGTCTTCTGGCGCACCACCGCAGCTCACTGCCGACAGCGAGCTGCGGTAGGAGACTTCTGCCGCGCGCCGACGGGAGCTTCGGTAGGAGATGACTAACAGTCATCTCTTAACGCAGCTCACTGTCGTCAGTGAGCAGCGGTGGCCATGTGGGCCAAGATTGCTGCGACCTACCGCAACTTACTGACGACAGTGAGCTGCGTTAAGAGATGACTGTTAGTCATCTCCTACCGAAGCTCCCGTCGGCGCGCGGCAGAAGTCTCCTACCGCAGCTCGCTGTCGGCAGTGAGCTGCGGTGGTGCGCCAGAAGACTCCTACCGCAGCTCGCTGTTGGCAGTGAGCTGCGCCGGCGGTGCCACCGCAGCTCGCTGCCGTCGGCGAAACGCCCGACAGGGAGCTCCTACCACAGCTCGCTGTCGGCAGCGAGCTGCGGTGGTGCGCCAGAAGACTCCCACCGCAGCTCGCTCGCTGTCGGCAGCCACCGCAGCTCGCCGCTGCCGTCGGCGAAATGCCCGACAGGGAGCTCCTACCGCAGCTCGCTGTCGGCAGTGAGCTGCGGTGGTGCGCCAGAAGACTCCTACCGCAGCTCGCTGTCGGCAGTGAGCTGCGCCGGCGGTGCCCACCCCTAACTAACTTACCGCAGCTCGCTGCCGTCGGCGAAATGCGCGACAGGGAGCCACTGCCGCAGCTCGCTGTCGGCAGTGAGCTGCGGCGGTGGTGCGGCAGACCTCTCCTATCGCAGCTCGGCGTCGGCAGTGAGCTGCCACCCCTAACCTACCGCAGCTCGCTGCCGTCGGCGAAATGCGCGACAGGGAGCTCCTACCGCAGCTCGCTGTCGGCAGTGAGCTGCGGTGTTGTTGTAGCAGGCCTCTCCTACCGCAGCTCGCTGTCGGCAGTGAGCTACCGCAGCTCGCTGCCGTCGGCGAATTGCGCGGCAGACCGCACTTACCGCGTCAGCGTGTTTCGCAGATGCACTTTCACTGCTATCCCGTCTTCTTCTCTTCTAGATGCTATAGTTGCAATCCCAGCGCTGAGTCCAAGTCCAATCGCATCCAAAGCCGAATCGAGAGGGAGGCAGGAGTGGGCCAGGGCGGACGGCGGAAGCCATGATGATGATGGGATGCGATGGCAGGGTGATGACGATGTATTTTTTTGAGCGGCGCGTGCTAGCCGAAACAGCCAGCCTGGCGGCGTGCCCGCCGAATCAGCGATGTTAAATGCATTCGAATGCTGCCAGAAACCGCTGTCAACGGAATAATCCTACAACAACAAACGCAACGCACGCAGCTAACAAAACTGCCATCGGCCCAACAATAAAGCTCTGGTAATACAATACACTCATTTGCGGGGGAGGGGGTTCTGAACAAGGACATCTTATTCGGCCGATGACTTAATGCGGGAACAGCAGCTGCTCATCGCACGTTTCGTCGACCTCGCAGGTCGACTGCACCTCAGCTGGCTGTCACTGCTCACCCAAAGGGTCCCAGAGCTCCTCGTCGCCGTTGGGCAGGTCGTCACCGTCATCACCGCCGTCCCCGCTGCCGCCGCCGTCCTGGCCATCTTCTCCGCCGTCCCCGCCGCCGCCAGCGCCTCCTGAGTCGCCACCCCCGCCCGCCGCCGCCGCAGCCCCGTCATCATCCGTCGTCCCCGCGGCGCCGCGGCCACCGCGGCCACGGCCGCCACGGCCACGGCCGCCACGGCCGCGGCCTCCACCACCACGGCCGCCACCACCTCCGCCGCCGCCGGAGCCACCTCCGCCGCCGCCGGAGCTGGGCGCCTCCATGCCAAGAGATTTCGCGTAGTCCTTGTTGAACAGCTTGGACCAGGCATCCGCCATCGCCTGCTTCACGAGGTCCGTCAGGTAGGAGTAGATCTTCTCCATGTGCTCCTTCGTGAATGCCACCCCGACGTATGCGATCCTCTCCTGGAGACAAACCCACGCGAATTTCGCATCGGTCGGGGTCAGATCCAGCACGCATTTAACATAGAACATGTGGATCAGCTCTTTGTAGTAGACCATCGGCATGCCGTGGGAATTCACGGGGATCATGGTCTCGTCGGTCTTCCGCTCCTGGAGCGGCTCAATGCCTTCTGTTTTGCCACCCACGGCAATCAGATTTTTCCTTCCGTACATAAGTTTCTTGTCCTTCCACAGCACGTGCCATTCTTTGCCAAGCTCTGGGACCTCGATGCCAGTAATCAGATCCCCTGCCGTGCTGCCCTCGAAGTACTTGCGGCGCCGCTCAGGGATCGAAATGCGCGCGTGTGCCACCATGTGCGCCCACTCTATCTGGTGCAGGCCCCCTGTGCCTCCGTGCACCCTGTTGCGGCGCGCTTTCAGGCTGTCCTCCGTGTGCGCGAGCTGGATGATCGAAGCTTTGAAGCCGGCCCTCTGCTCGTTGTCGCTGTCGTCGTCGCCGTCCTGATCGTCGTCGTCGGCCTCCATCGCCTCATCGCCGCCGCGGCCGCGCCCCTTAGCCTCCTTCTTCTCGACGGTGTTCTCCTTCCACGGCGCGAGCAGCTTGGACGCATTGCCCCTCCGCCCGCCGTCCAGAATCACTGCGACCTGCCCATTGCGGAGATGGCTCGGCTGCCCCTGGGGCGCCCTTGCGTTCAACATCGAACGCACGAGACGCTCGTACGGCTTCTCCCTGAGGGGCGCAATGCGCAGCTCAGGCCTGGTTTGCGGCTCGCCGAACTGCTTCGCGTCGAAGTGGTGCAGCACCAGCCCCGTGGGGCCACCCTTGATGGTGGCGAGCGCGGAGTCCCGGAGCACGTTCTCCAGCTCAGCCTGCGTTTTCTGGTCGGGCACGATCTGAATGTAAGTCCGAACGACCTTGTCAATGACCCTGTTCCAATTCTGCTTGTCCGTCTCTTGCAACTGGGCGAACTTCTTCAACTCCTTGGGCGCGTCGCCCGCTGAGGTCATGCTGTTGCTGCCCGGGTCTGCGGCGGCAGCCCCGGCAGAGGAGGCGGCCGCTCCGGCCGCTCCAGCCGCCTCGGCGCCATCAGTCCCGTTCTCCCTCTTCGCCATTTCGATGGTTTCGTTCATACGCATGGCGACCGACTCGTAGGCGAGAAAGTCCGCCACATCGAGCTTCGACTGGATGGCATTGGTGTAGCGCCTGTCGAACTCGATGGTGTACACCAACTCCTCGATGAGCGCGACAGCCGAAACAGCCGACTGCTTCATCAGAGCTTGCCACGTGGTATCGACTGTATCCCCCGGGTAGCCAGTGACGTACGCCCGCACCGCGGCGAAGGTACCCATCTTCTGCTGTATGGTTGTGACGTGATCGCTTGGGATGCCAACGCGCGGAAGCCATTTGAACAGCATCTCGTTCTTCACGTCGAGCTTCAAGTTCAAGACCTCGACGTAGCTCTCCCTGTAGTCCCTGAGCTTGTTGACACCGAACTTGCCTAAGTCAATGAACTCCTGGTGGTTCTGACTCCTCCCCGACGCTGATTCGCGCCGACCCGCCGACGACGCGTCGACGACGGGTTGGCGCGAGCAGCGAGGGTGTTCAGGACAAACCCTTGGGCGCCATGCGGTAATGGTCCGTGAGGCCCATCATCGCCCAATCGATCTTGTTGGGAGTCGACGCGCGCTCGACCACAGCCTGCATCGCGTAGAGGCTCGTCCACGGGGAATCGGTCATCAAGTTCTCGTCCGCCCAGACAAGGCACTTGTTGGAGTCTTCCAGGGACAACAGCCGCTTGTGGACGGTGATCGCGTTATCCACGAAGGTCGGTTTCACGTGGAGTGTAGACTTCGCGTACTTCATGTGCTTCTCGTAGAGCTGGCTGAGCTCCTTGCTACCCAGCGTCTTACCAATATCCTTCTCCTTCGCTTCCTTAAAACCGACGATGTCGTACACCCATTGCCTCACGCTGAGTTGGGCTGTATCCCTTGTCTCGATCCACTCCTGCTGAATGTTATGGGCGCGCCAATGCCGAGTGTCGCCTTCCGCCTGCACCTCGAACGTCACTGGCGCCGACAGCGCGACCTGCCTCCACTTTAACAGGACGCTGTCCTCCGCCTCCTTCTTCACCGCGTCGGCCATGCCCATGAGCAAAGCCAATTGCGGCTCGATTGGCGAGAGGCGCTGCAAACTGCCAAGGTGCATGGTGACGTCCATGGCCGGGTTGTCCACCGCGAAGACGGTGGTCATGGGGAAGACCTCTGGCGGGCTCATCGGGGACATGTGGAATCTGCGGATCTCCTTGACCTGCCCCATGTTCACAGGGGTTTTGTAAGTGGCGCTCCAGAAGAAGTTCTGCCAAAACAGGTTGCTCCCGCAAGTGTAGTTGCTTCCGCGGCTGAGGGCATCAAGGCAGTCCTGCTTGGTGAACGGCGCCTGGCGGCCGCCGTCGGCGATGGTCAGCGGCATTGTTTTCTCGAGGTCGGCCAAGATTGGCGACGTCTCGATGCTGTTCAAAGCCTCGGTGATGATGTCCAGCACGGGGCCCGCGCAATTATTGGCCGATGCAGCCGGCTGCGCATTGTCGAAGTCATCATCTCCTCCCCCTGGGGTAGACGGCGCCGATCCAGCCCTTGACCTTGGCCTCTTCATCGGAGGGGGGGCCGATCCAGCCTTGCCCGTGGATTCCCGCTTCTGCGACTGCTTCTTAGGGGCCATGGCAACTCCCACTGCAAGTCGAATGGCCGCAACAGCCCGCACGTTTTTATGTTCGTCGTTCCGAAGGGCCGCAACAGCCCGCGTCGGTACACACTCAGCCAAAAAGGTCACGGAGATGAAATGGAGGAGGCGGCGGAGGCGGAGGAGGAGGCGAGCCGCGGGCAGGAGGGTAGCGGGCAGGGGGGTCGCAGCAGCAGTGCCGACGACGACGACGATCACGAAAGAAGAAGGCGCAGGCTGCGAGGAGGGTCGGCGGTGACACGACGAGTGCGACGACGACAAGAGCTTGCCGAAACAACAATCAAGCCCCCCTAGCCGATGCAGCCGGCCCGGCAGCCGAGCAGACCAGCAGACCGAGCAGGGAAGTTTTGCATGGCCCGATCGGGCCACCTGTCCTGAAAGGGTTCCAGAGGCGAATCCGGCGTGGCCCAGGCATCCCGAGGTAGCCAAGAATTCAGACAGCTCTCTTGGAGGCGCAGCTGACGCGGCTCTCGACCCCATCTGCGGCGTGGATTTCGCGCGGACCTCCGCCCCTGGAGGCCTCCGGAGGCTCTCGACCCTATCTGTGGCGTGGAATTCGCGCGGGCCTCCGCTCCTGGAGGTCCCCGGAGGCTCTCGACCCCATCTGCGGCATGGAGTTCGCGCGGGCCTCCGCCCGTCGTGGAGGCCCCCGGAGGCTATGGCCCCCAACTCTCGGCGACGACGAACGAGCCCGCCGCCGCTGCCTGCATGCGGGGTGAAGAAGAAAGCTAATTCGTCATGCATCGCTACCTCCTTCTCCTCATCATTCGTTTTCCACCCGCCATCTCCCATCCAAGTCTAAACGTCCTTCTTCTTTTTTCTTCTTCCACCCGCGGATCCAGAGGAGACGACGGGAACGAGGCTGTTTCGGCCAAGAGGCACTGGGCGCCGGCACTCCTCCTCCTGCACTTCTTCTCTTTCTGCCTCCTCCTCCTCCTCCCCCTCCTCCTCTCGCCCCACTCGCCTCCTCATCCCTCCCATTGCCCTCCCTCCTCCTCCTCCTCCTCCTCCGCCCTCCGCCCTCTGATGATGATGATGATGATGATGATGATGCATGACAATGATGATGTTTTTTTCACAGGTCGAGCGTCGCTCGTCGAGGCGTCGCTTGCAACTTCCGCGCTTATGCATTTCGCGCTTATACAAGCGAAGGAAGAGCGCGCCCCAGTTAGCGGCGACCGCGCAGTCGTCACCACGTTGTTCATGACGACGACGAAGGGCATACAGATCGCAAAAAAACTCGGGGGCGTTGCACATGCACGCATCAACGCTTGTTTCAAGCGCTGTGCTGCTCGCAAAAGGTGGCCGCCGCATCCGTCTCCTGCACCCTCTGGCAACACGCCCTGCACGCCATCCGAACGCAATATGCGCCAGGCTGGTCGCGGTGGCATATGGCGCACATGGCCGGCTGAGGCGCCGTGCGGACCCCCGCGGGCCTCACGCCAGCGGCGTGCTTCTGGGCCCGAGCCAACTTCTTAGAGTGCCAAGCCGCCGAGTGGTGAGACGCAGACTGCCAGCCGGCCCACTCCTGCGCAGGAGGCGCCGCCGCCGCGCCCCCCGCGGCCGAACCAGCCGCGGGCGCAGCAGCAGCATCGGCCGAAACAGCCGCGGGCGCAGCAGCAGCAGCAGCGGCCAACGCCGCCACAGAGGCATTCATCGCGTTGGTGTTCTGGTGCAAGGAGAGCAGGGTGTTCGCGGTCGCCCTGGTGCTGGAGCTCCTCCGTCGACGGAGCTGCCGGCGCTGCTGCTGCCGGCGCTGCTGCGGCGGCCGGCGCTGCTGCGGCCGCAGCCGCCGACGGGCGCCCTGCTCCCTTCGTCGGCGGGCCGGCTGGCGGCGCGCCCTTGAAGGCCACGTGGGGGCCAGGCGCCGCCGCCCGCGGCGGCGTCGCCGGCGCCCGCGGCGGCGTCGCCGGCGCCGCGCCGGCCCCAGCCGACCCCCTGGGCGGCGCCCCCGATGCCTTCTTGAGGAGGTGGGTCGGCGGCGGCGTCGACGGCGCCCTCGGCGAAGGAGGCTTGGCCACCAGCAGCTGCGACGCCGGCGTCGACTGGCGCCAGCGACGACGACGCGTGGGCGGCGGCGGCGGCCGACCCCCAGCCCTGCGGCCGCGGCGGCTGCCGCGGCCGCCGCGGCGATGATCATCATCATCATCATCGCCGCTGTCCTGCTGAGGGCCGTCGTCGTCGAGCTCCTCCATCGGGGGGCGACGGCGCGCCCTGGAGGAGCGGCGCCGGCACTGCTCGATCAACTCCATTGCCGTCCTGCCTGTTGGCGCGGGGCGGGAAGGCGGCCCGAGCTGCGCCAGCTGGTCCCAGACGTCCATGTTCGGCAGGCGGAAGTAGTCCGCCATCTATGGGCTAGCGCATTGTTATTATTTGTTGCGAGCCTCAGTGGGGAAGGGGCCCCCAAAAAAAGGGGGCCCTCGACAGCGACGGCGACGGACGACGTACCAAACACATATTATATCTACCCTGACGCCCCCTCTGAGTCTCATACTAATAATTTTAATGCGCCAACCACCTCGCGCCAACTGCCGATGCGGACCAGGGCGTCGTCGTCGTCGGGGTCCCACCTATTCCCGACAGGCCAGACGCCCGTGTACTGGATGACGGCGCCATGTTCATTGATGGAGTCGCACTGCGCCTGGCCACCCTCGTGGAGGACGCTCCACAAGCACTCGAGGTCATTGTCGATCATGTGGGTCAAGACAACGCCATCATCCTCGCACTTCGGGCCTTTCCCACCAGCGCCGCTCTTGTTACAGGTCAAGTGGACGTTGTTCTCATCGAGCCCCATCTCCAGCAGACCTGTGCCCCTGATCAGCCTCGCGACCCAAGCCTCCACCTGGCCCAAACGACGATGCCAAGAATGCCACGTGCCGCGATTCGTCCGACTGATGAAGTGGACATCATCGAGGCCGAACTCAGCCGCGTACAGTACTGCAAAAGGCCAGAACCCGTCATCCACTGCCTGATAGATGTCGTCGCCTTTGCGGGGTGGCGCAGGCTCGATCGACGCGCCCCGAGGGGGCGCCGCGGCGAATCTGGCGGCGGGCTGAGCGCCACCTCCAGTCCAAGCCGCCACGGCGCCCTCTCAGGGCGCGCCATGCGCTTGCCCACCCAGCCAGAACCTTCCAAGCGCCCCCCCCCGCCGTCGCCGCCCTCCCCGGACGCGACGCCGCCCGCGTCGATGCCCAGCACGGGCATGTCGCCGCTGCAGCGGCGGGCGGCGGCGGGCGGCCGAGCCGGCCGCTGGCTGCTGCTGGGGGGTGGGCGCGCCACCAACAAAGCCAAAACGGCTGTTGTCACGGTGCAACATGCATGCCCCCCTCTTCTTGTTGTCTTCCTCTCTTCTTCCCCCCTGGGATGCGTCCAGCCGCGGCGACGACGAGGAGGCCCCATGGGATGATCTGACCATTTTTCGGGCGGCGTCCAGCCGCGGCGACGAGGAGGCCCCCATTCCGAAGGCCAGAAACACAAAATCTCGAAACTCCAGGGCCGAAGCAACCCGCAGTGGAGTAGGGGGGAAGCCTGGCAATTCAAATGCAGGGAGGGGCGGGCGAGGAAGCGGATTGGGCGAGACGGAGGAGGACAAGGGGGAGGAAGAGTACACACAGGAGGACGACAGAGGAGGAGGAGGAGGAGGAGGAGGAGGAGGAGGAGGAAGAATCGGAGGAGGAAGAGGAAGAGGAGGAGGGGGATGAGGAGGAGGATGAAAATGAGAAGGATGGAGGAATGCGAGGGAGTCCTGCCCGCCAGGAGGTGGGGGGGTAAGGTGCAAGAAGGATGAGAAGGATGGTGGAATGAGGTGCACCAAATCCTATCCTTCAAAACCAAAATTTGGTGGCTGGGGTAACATCCGAAACAGCCAGCGGGGGTGGGGGTAACAGCCGAAACAGCCAGCCGAAACAGCCAGCGGGGGTGGGGGTAACAGCCGAAACATAACAGCCAGCGGGGGTGGGCCATCAATCCTTTTCCAACCGGCTGAAACAGCCAGCGGGGGTGGGGGTAACAGCCGAAACACAGCGGGAGGTAAAAAAAACTTGCCCTCGCCAGCCAAACGCCACCACCCCCCCCTCCCCCCTCCGCTCCTCCCACCCCGCTTTTTTTATTTGCCCGCCTCCTCCTCCCCTTCCTCCTGCATTCCGCCCACCCTCCTTTTCCCCTCAGCGCCTCCCTGCGCGTGGCTGTCAACAATAATTCGTACCCTCGTGGGCGCGAACGATTCCCCTCGGGGCGGGGCACCAAAATTAATGTCGCGCTATATCCAATGAAACGCGCTGCGCACATTGCGTGAAATCACATTGGAATTGTTAAGCAAATAACATCGTTCGGAAAGTTCCCCTCTAGAAATAACATGACGATGTATTATCATCATATGTTTGTTTCCTTGTCGACCACAAACAACGCATGCACATGTATCAATCCATATAAACGTTACACCTATACAGGAATACACCAAATCTTCTAGAATTGCACATGCATCCAAATTCCCGCGTCGTTCGTTGTTCGTTCGTTACTACGCGCGCACATTGTCTGCCCCGAAAACGACGATGATGGGGTTGTGAGAATCCATGTGA